TCTTGTTATTTTTTAAAAGTTGTTATTTCAGCTTTCATTTTAGTGACGTTTCATTTTTAGTTGCTATAAAATGTATGCTATCAAATCTTATTTTTGCAGTAATGTAATTTCATACTAAATTTCCCTCTCTCTCTCTCTCTCTATATATATATATATATATATATATGTTGCAGGACATGTTTCAGGTTTGCTTGCTTGCTCTAGGTTCCTCTGAATTATTTCTTCTACTTCTATTTTCATTCATAGCTTTGTGCGTCTTTCACAAAAATTTAAAAAAAAAAGGTAAGAATAGTATATTTCAATTATTTTTTTAATACCAGAAATGCATTCTAATTATGTTTATAGTGCTTTGATTTTTTGTCCCTTTTTTATATTTTTGTTCGTAGTTGTAATTCTTTCTCCCTTCTGCTAAATATATTTCTTGACAAATTATTCAACATCCGGTAATGAAATGTTTTAAATTTTATTTTAAAAATAAAGCCCTGAGGCTTGTCAAATCAAGATTACTTAATGGGGTAAGGCAAACAGTCCAACTAATGTTGCTCTTCCTCTGTAATAACATTTTGACTCGTCCGTTTTGTATGTTCATCAAAGCAAAAAAAAAAAAAAAAGAAAAAAGAAAAACACATCTTGTTGGCCCAATTTTTGATGAAGGAGTCAAAGCATTACGATTCTTAGGGTGCGTGCTAGGCGTGCTAGAGGAGCGAGTTTTCAAAAAAGTAAATTGTGATCAAACAATTTTAGTGTGTTTCTAGGGTCTTTTATCACAATTTCTTTAGAGAATCAAGTGACATACGATGATAGTGAAGGGTGCACTGTAATTGAGTGTGAAGGTCAATAGCATTACTTAAAAAAAAAAACGACTAGGTGCTCCATGAAGAGGGAGAGGCAAATATGACTGCCAAACTAGTCGAGGGAGCTGAGTTTACAAAGTTAAAGTAAGTCACATTGGGCGAGATTAGGTGACGCAAGGTCAAGAGTAGTGTTTTTGTGCTGGGCAACTTTGGTGTAAGTTTGGCAGAGTGTTTAGAGAGCCTCCATTACGTGCTTGTTGCTTGTTTATAGAAATATGGCAATGGCACACTCCTTTTAAATTCAAATTTGGCACCTTTAAGAGTAGTTAGTTATTCACACCTTTGAATTCTCGAGCGACGCTTCGTTGTTGGAGTGTTGTGAGTGCCCCGGGAATCTTGGGGAGTGGTCAGAATAGGCATGACTTTGTCAATCCTTCTTGAAACTCACTGTTCCACTTATGTGTATGAGACTTGGTTTGCTAATGGTCCGAGTCCGCTCCTTTATTGATCTAGGCTTTGGTGTTTTATCTCATTTAGGTTGAGAGTGCTAATTTTGGTTCAAGCAATGCCCCCCATACATGATGTTTCGGTGTTGAAGGAGAGAAATGGCTACGTACGCATCAGTGTCACAGGCCACGTGTCAGGCTGGGATATGCTCAACAATTAAATTCTTGAAGCACCATCATTATTTCCCTAAGTGCTTCGTTCACCTAGGGTTGTAGAGCCTCATTTAAACCCTTGGACTCCCTTGCCTTCCTCTTTACTTGTTCTCCTCTACTACCTTTGAGTCTTCCGGCGGTTTCCTCAGTGAGTTTAAATTCACATCTCTTCTCAGCTTATAATGGCATCTTCCTCCTTTGCTTCCTTCAATGAGTTAAGCTAAACCTGCTCCCAGTTAGCCTTAGAGTCCTGCCTATCTTAGGTTTTGACCTAAACCTAATTACATTGACTTGTTTTCTAGGGTGCAGCTACGCTTTCGTCTCTCTGCTCTCATATCCACTTTGAGTAAATACCCACCCTCCTCCTAGGGTTCTTTATTTAGGTAACTTGCTGGGTAGATTATTGCTTTATTTATTAAAGCCAAGTATGTCTCTGGTTTCTCATGTGTTTTAGGTCTGTGCCCCATTCCTTTTCTCCCACAAACCCAGGGGGTTCCCTTTATCTATGTCTTAATTTACGGCCAAGTCTCGCAGCTTATCCTTTCCCTTTGTCCAGTCCTGATGAGACCTTTTTTTCCAAATTCCTAGACGAACCTCCATCACTGAAGAGAGTAAATGTTGGCCTAAAAATGATCAAGATATTTACTAGCTCCCTTAGGTATATTCGTCTACGTCCATACTTTTACAATCGTTAGGCGAAGCTAGACATCGTTAACTTGATTGACCCAAGTCGTACGTTGACACCAGGGGATAAAGAACTCTTGCTTCATATTTCCCTTTGGCCCTATGATTGTGACTCTTTGGGATGTGTTTCTTTTAGTCGGTCTTCAGATTAATGGTCTCTTATTACTCTCAAATATGACATCAACTATGATGATCCAATGCTCTTCCACAAGCACCTCCCCTTGTAAGGTTTGATGCTGGATGCTAAGCTCTGGTTAGGGCAGCTATAATTCGGAGTTCTAACCCTACTGCCCAAGAATGTGGACATTTCCTTTGGGTCTTTATAAGTAAATACGTCTTTTACTCTCTTAGGGGAGAACCTATGTTGGAATTATTTTCCACCACGTGTCACCATATCACCCTCCACGTGGCTCCCCTACCTCACGCATGTGTCATCATATCATCAATTTATATTTTCATTTTACAAGTTGCCTCCTTTAAAGTTTGAACCCATGACCTCCTCCTTTTATGTCCCATTATTTTGCCACTAAGTGAAATGAACTTGTAATCTATTACTACATAATTAAATATATATATATATATATTATTAAACTATACAAACACACACACACACACATTAAATATTAAATATTATAAAATCTCATTACTATCATTAAATACTTTAATTTAATTCTTTTAATTTATTCAAATTCCAAATTATATTATTTATTTTGTCTAAAGTAAACTATAAATATGGTTGATACAATATCATTTGTATTATTTATTTTATTTTTTTTACTTCTTAAGGTTATTATATTATTTATTTTAATGTTCATATTTATAATTATAATATAAAAAATATTTAAGAATAAATAGTAAAAATTAGATGATTATATATTAGTTCATAATTATTTATTTTTCTAGCTAGTTTTATTTAAAATTTTATTTTTACTTTTAATTAACAATAACTCTTAAGTAATGTAATTGGGTTGTTTTTACATTACACTTTACTTTTTTAATTAGTTTTTATTTTTAAATTATAATTTTATAAGAAAATTATACACTATATTATCTAATTTTTTTTTATATTTATGTCGCAAGATAGCATCAAACAAAAAAAAATCACATAGCATTACATACATAGATATATTTTGTATATTGTAAAAGCTAAAAGTGAAATTTTAGAATATCTCATTTTTTTCTTTTTATATTTCTCTTTCCTATCATTAGCCATCAAATTGAGAACATCTAAATCAGCATCAAGCTCAAAAGTTACTAGTATTAAATGTAGAATTTGAATTAAAAAATTATATTAGATAAAATATCATTCTATGAATGAATAAATTTAACTATTACATGTCTAATTATTATAAACAAGTAGTGTTATTGTGTAAAACATTAATTTAATCATAAAATATTTAAAAATAGAGACTCATTACCACATTATATGCATTTCAAATTAAAAAAATCACACATCAAATTTTTGAATGAATTTATCACTTCACATAGGGGTATGCATTAGTCAATTCAGTTAGATTTAATATTATTTAACTAAAACCAATTAATTAAACTGGCCTAAATAGTTGTATTGAATCAAACCAAATATTACTTGATAACAAAAATTGATGTAACATAATATGATTTGGTTTAATTCTTTACTTTGACTCATTAACATTAAATAATACTTTAACCTTATCTTAAAATAATTTCATTATTTTAAAGTTACAATTCAACCATAAATATATTAAATGAAAACTCATTATGTTATTTATATATTCATTATAAAATTACAATAATACAATAAAATTAATATCTTAAAAAGTTAAATATTAGATTAAACAAAAATAAAAAATAATGTTGAAAATATAAAATCAAACTTTCAACGGCGACTTTGAATGTCGCCATTGAAAGTGTGACAAAAAAAATTACCGTTAAAAGTCTCACTTTCAATGACAACTTATATGTCGCTGTTGAAACTTATAATATATTTATTATCACATTAGTTTTTAAGAAATTATAAGACATTTTAAAATATGTTGACAATCAGCGATGACTGATTGTTAACTTTTATTGACGACTTCTATGTTGCTGCTAAAACTTAGATATTCAATGGTGACATACACTTGTCGTCGTTGAAAGTTTGACAATCAATGGCGACTATATATTGTCGTTGCAAAAAGTCACCCTCATAGTGGTGACTTTGAATGTCGTTGTAGAAAGTTAAATTTTTAGCGGCAACTTTTTTTGTCACTGTAGATTGTTCATTTTCAAAAAGTTGTTGCTAAAATTCGCCACTGAAAGTTTTTTTTTGTAGTGTTAACAACTAAAATCCCAATAATATGATAGACGTCATATATTGATTATAATTAGTTTGTATCCATATGTTTGATGGAGGGCTACTTGCTTGACCTTGCAAAGAATGAAGTCCAAAGTTTGGTGAATCTAGTGAAAAATGAAGCTCAATATTTATGTTGCTTCAATAATTATGTTGAAAATTTTGAAAAAAAAGGAAAAACTAGTTGCAAAGCACCAAGATGTCAAGAGAAAGTTTCAAAGAGGCAAAGGTGTTTTCAATTTTAAGTTTTAAGCACGGCAATGGGAATGTGAAGCAGATGGTATAATTAATATAGACACTAAAATAAAGAAGAAATTCTTTTTTGGATGGTGTCCTAATTGCTGGTGGCAATATTGAAGAGGTAAGGAATTAAAAGAGAAGACTAAGCAGATTGAAGAATTATTGGGAAGATGCCACTCCAATGTAGTAGCTAGTCGAGCAAACATATTAGACATGAAATTATTTTCTTCACAAGATTTCATTCATTTTGAGAGCAGAAAGTCCAAGTTCGAACATTTAATGAAGGCATTACAAGATGAAAATTGCAACATGATTGGATTGCAAGGGATGGCCGGAGCAGGAAAAACTTCAATGGCAAAAGAAGTGGGTTGCAAACTAAAAGAATCTAAATTAGTTGACAAAGTCATCTTTCTTGTGGTGTCCAAGCCTCCAGATTTGAAAAAGATTCGAGGTGAACTTGCAAAAGGCTTAGATTTGGAGTTAGATGGAGTGAATGAAGAGCTTTCCAATACAATATGGTCTAGAATCACTCATATGGAAGAAAAGCTGCTTATAATACTAGATGATGTATGGGAAAATTTTGATTTGATAGAAAACTTGGGGATTCCATCTGACCATAAACATAAAGGCTTTAGTTTATTGATAACCACACGTAATTTAAGAGTTTGTACAGAAATGGGATGCCAAATGATTGAACTACAGACATTGATCTATGAAGAGGCATTGAATCTTTTTAAAACACATGCCAATATTAATAATTCCACTCGTGGTTTGAAGGGCATGCCGGAAAAAGTTGTGAAGCATTGTGGAGGAGTATCAATTGCAATTATAGCAATAGCAAGCACATTGAAAAATCAATCTACATCAGTTTGGAAGGATGCTCTAAAAACATTGGAAGATTATGCTGTTGATCAAAATTTGGAAGAGGCTTATAAATGTCTAAGGTTAAGCTATGATAACTTGAAAAATGAAAATGCAAAAGAACTCCTTTTGATATCTTCTTTGTTTCCAGAAGATGACAAAATTCCTGCAAAACGTTTAACCATAATTGGTATAGGATTGGGCTTTTGCGCGGAAAATGACAAATACCACATGGAAAGAAATGAAGCGCATGCAATGATAATGGATTTGATAGAATCCTCTTTACTGTTGAATGGCGAACAAGAAAGTGTAAAGATGCATGACTTGATTCATGAAGTAGCCTTGTGGATAGGAGACAAAGATATTTAATCTATCATGGATTCAAAAATGCCTATAAAAGAGAACTTGAGATATTTGTTTTGGTCAAATGGTAATTTTCTTGATGAATTCAATGGAATAAATTAGAGTTTCTATTAATATATCTAGATGATTCAAAGGTTTTGGAAGTCTCAGCTACATTCTTTAAAGAGATGACAAGGCTCAAAGTATTGATGATTGTTAGTACTGGTTATAAAATTCCAGCTCTATCAATAACACATTCACTTCAATCATTAAAGGATATTCAAACACTCATCTTAGTGAGTTTGGAGTTAGGTGACATCTCTGTCTTAGGAAACTTGTTGAATTTTGAGACTCTTTGGTTGCTTAATTGTTCAATCTTTAAATTACCAAGTGAATTTTGGAACTAAAAAGGTTGAGATCATTGGGGGTAGAAGAATGTAAAATTGCAAAGAATAATCCTTTTGAAGTGATTGAAAGATGCTCACAACTAGAAGAGTTAACTTTTGTTGGTAATATGTGTGACAAGAAGAAAATAAAAAGATGCAATTTCTCAAAATGGATCTCCTCTTACATTACATAGATATTGTATATTTATTGATCTCTCATATTATTTGGAAAAGCATGGTTTCATGTCAAGATGCTTTCAAATAGATGAATTAAAACATTTAGTTTCAGATGCAACATTTAAGCAACTTGCGGGAAGAGCTGAAATTCTTATCTTGAAAGGAGGGCAAGTAGAAGCAAGATGGAAGAATCTTATTCCTGATATTGTTCCAATAGACAAGAGAGGTGCGATGAATGATTTGATTATTCTTCATTTGAAATCAGGGCCTAATATAGAGTGTCTAATTGAGACTGGAAATGATTATTATGATGTGAGTGCTTTCTCTAATTTGGCTGAACTACATTTATTTGAAATGGGTGTTGAAGATTTATATCGGGGTTCTTTGCCAACTGGCTTTTAGAGCAATTGGAGATTATGACGTTGGTGAAGTGTCAGAAATTGAAGAACACATTATATAACGGCAACTTAAAGCTACATTATCTTAAGTCCTTGGAAATGAAAAATTGTCTATTGTTGACATCAATATTCCAGCCATCCACCGCTGCAATTGCAAAAGTTAGTAATTGAAAATTGTGAAGCATTGGAATACATTATAACGAATTCAAGTTCAGGAGGGGAAGCAGTTAATGATGATGGTGAGAACGATCAAAGAAGTTTTGACTCACTATTCCCTGAACTAAAAGCTCTTAAAATTTCAGGTGTGCCAAGTTTAATGGGCATCTTTAGAGATGACGACCACATGAGTTCGTCTTTGCAAAATCCATCACCTACACTTTCAACAAATAATTCAAAGAAAATGATTCGAAAGCCCACCATACGTGCTTTCTCTTGGGTACAAGCATGGGGTTTTCAAAATAACTTGCAGGCCATAAGTGAAGAGGCCAATTTTGCTAATTCTAACAAGAGATTGGTCCCCCACACAATCTCACAGGTATGCTACATTCGTTTCCTTATTATTGTTCAATGTTTCTAGTATATATTATGTTCAATATATAGAACAGTACTAAATTATCGATTATTTATAAACATGGTTAATAATTGAAGAAAAAAAGATGAGTTTCATAAACATCAAATGCGAATCATTGGTGCGATACATTCAGAAGTCTGATATGTTGTTGAAAACTACCTGCATGGTGTCATTTATTAGTTCAGAAGTAAATGGATGAGTTGTATTTGATCTCCCTGCTTTGTAGAGTTTTTTTTTTTAATTTCTTTCTTTTTTTATTTTAAGAAATGTAACTTTAAATCTTTTACAGATACTAATGTTTTTTCAAATGGAGGACAGTTGAATTTGAAAACTACAAAGGCAATAATCAATTTAAATTAAAAATATTTATTATTTTTTTTTTTCCTCAATATTTTATCAACAAAGCATTAAATAGAATGGGACAATAGAACTCATAAGGGGTTTTTTTTTTCGTAAGAATATTTGGAACAAAACGGTTGAAAAGTCATAATTATTTTTATTTATTGTTATGCTTTGATATTATTTTCTGTATATTAAATTATCCAAACAGTTCATTATCAATCGCCGCAAATTTTTTTTTCCATAATTTAGAATTTTACATATCAATGTTGACACACACATACACACACAGATGTCAAAGTAATTGGCCATTATAAATCTTGTAATTTAAAAATCTTTAAACTACCTTCTTGAGTCTTGTAACTGTTTACTTTTTTCTTTTTTTCCGCCAGATTGTAATCGTTTACTTATTATTATATATTACAACTCTCAAGTAATATAAGATAAATTAAAAAAATTTGAAACTTTCTTCAAAAGGAAATTATGAAGAGAAAATAATTGGAAGGAGAACAATACATCCATTTGCAAAATTTTACGGACTGTTTGTTTGGTATGAGAATGATTAACTAATAACTAACTTGATCACAGACGGAAGAATGAATTATGTGTTTGTAGGAATTATTAGATGCATCCACAGATGGAGTTTCTCCTTTTCATGCAGCTCAAAGCCTTTTGGTGACATCATTGAAGAATGTTAGGGAAATAGAACTTGTGGAATGTTGGAACTTAATATTATTGTCAACTCTATCCATTGCGGCCTCAACAATTTCCTTGGAAAATTTGACAGTAAGAGAATGTCATAAACTGAAGTGCATCACAACACATGAAGGGGATGACCAAGTTGGTAAGACTTACTGTTCCATCTTTCAAAGATTGGAGAATCTGCATATTGAGGATTGCAAGGAGTTGGAGTTTTTACTTCTATCAGTAATATCTGGTGGAATTGAAAAATTGAAGTCTTTGAGCATCAAGAAAGTTCCTTGACTAAAATATGTTGTTGGGAAGAACCATCAGGAGCAAAATCCATCCTATCAGAATCAAAACGATGAGCTACAATTCAATCTCCCTGCTTTGGAGATCCTCCACATTGAAGATGCACCGGAGTTCAACAGCATTTGCGCCAAGAATTATAAACTGGTGTTGTCATCTCTTCAGAAACTTTATCTAAAGAAATGTAGCATTAAGTCTTTGATTGGGTTCACGGGTTGTTCGGATGATGAAGAGCAAATGAATTGGAAAACCACAAAGGTAACGCTCCTCTTACTTCAAACGTAATTAATTACTTATTAATATTTTTTTATGAGAGACAACTATATATATTTTAAAGTTTCTGTAATCAAGTTTTTGTTATGTCATGATTTCTGCTCTTAAATATCTACGTGTTTGTAGGAATTACATGCACCCACAGATAAAGATCTTCCTTTTAATGCAAGCCAAAGCCTTTTGGTGCAATCATTGAAGAATGTTAAAGAAATAGAACTTGTGGAATGTTGGAACTTAATATCACTGTCAACTCTATCCACTGCGGCCTCAACAATTTCATTGGAAAATTTGACTATCAGAGAATGTCATAAACTGAAGTGCATCACAACACATGAAGAAGATGCTCAAGTTGATAAGAATTACTGTTCCATTTTTCCAAGATTAGATAGTCTGAAAATTGAGGATTGCAAGGAGTTGGAGTTTTTATTTCTATCCAAAATAACTGGAGGACTTGAAAATTTGAAGTCTTTGATGATCAAGAAAGTTCCTAAACTACGATGTGTTGTTGGGAACTACTCGCAGGAGCAACAAGCATCCTATGATCTTCCTGCTTTGGAAACCCTCTCCATCGAAGACGCACCAAAGATGAATAGCATTTGCGCTGAGAATTCTAAACTTGAGATGTCATCTCTGCAGAAACTTGTTCTGAAGAAATGTAGCATTAAATCTTTGACCGATTCGATGGGTTGTTCAGATGAAGAGGAAATAAATTGGACAACTACAAAGGTAACACGCCCTTTTGACTTAGCATCATTTGTTCTCTTTAATTTTATCCATCATCTTTTTTGGGAGAGGAATATTAATTGGCTAAAAGTGAATTAATTTGGATTCTTTTAATATATATTATTTTGACAAAACATAATTTTTGGTCTTTGCACTTTACTCGAGTTTTGCCATAGGTTCCTGCACTTTTTTTGTTGTTGTATTCTAGGTCTTTTCATGAGCGGTTTATAGAGACCTAAAATATAAAAAAATAAAAATATAGGGACCTAAAACACTAAAAAAAGTATAGAGACTTATAACAAAATTCAAACAAAATATAGAGATTTAAAGTTATGTTTTTTCTTTTATTGAGATTTTTCATATTATTCGTGTATAGATTTGATTTAACAGAGGGAAATATCTCTTATAATAGAAAGAAAAAAGTAGTAATATAGAAGCAAGCATAATGCATCAGTTTGTGAGCTGGGAGCTGACTCAATTGACCACTACTACGACATTTGTTGTGAAGAATCTTATATTTCCTTTATTTAATTTCTTTCAAGTTTTCTCATTTCACCGTGTTAAGTGTGCCTCATTTTTCAAAGCCACATATCTTTTGAACGTTACTTTGACTTCATACGTAATTCCTTATTTATTATTTTATTTTTTGAGAGAATATGGTTAGGTCATAGTTCAAGATATTCAAATATTCTGTCAAATACATTAATTGGTAATCATAATATATATTTCCTGTGTAATTTAAGTAAGACTTGCCAGTAATAACATATGTCACAATAGAATGAATGTTTTTTGTTATTTTCCCAAAAGAATAGATGTAGAGAACAAGAAACGTCTACATTCTAATATGACTAATAACTAATAAGAGAATAGCTAGCACTATTATATGAAAGGATAATATTAAGGATAAATTAGCTCACTGACTGAAAAAAATTTCGTGCCCAGAAAATAGGGACCAAATTTTTGAAAATTTAGAAATATGGCCTTTTTATATTAATATACAAGGGGTATATTATTGACAAATATAATAAATAGGTTATAATGCAAAATATAATAAATATTGAGCTATTTGCTTAATTTAATCCTATAGCGTAGGTTATATTTGAAAAAGCCTCTAATATTAACAGTACATTTTCTTTCAAAATATTATCGAATTAATGGCCACAAGAAAAATTGAAAAAAAATAAATAAATCTCTAAGTGTTATTGGATGTTGAAGTTTTACTGATTGTTTGCTTTGGTAAAAGAATGATTTACTTATTGGTGATAGATATAAGAATTCAAACGAGTTGTGTTTGTAGGAATTATTGGATGCATCCACAGATAGAGTTCGTCCTTTTCATGCGGCTCAAAGCCTTTTGGATAAATCATTGAAGAATGTTAGGGAAATAGAACTTGAGGAATGTTGGAACTTAATATCATTGTCAACTCTATCCATTGCGGCCTCGAAAATTTCATTGGAAAATTTGACAATAAGTAGATGTCATCAACTGAAGTGCATCACAACACATGAAGGAGACGATCAAGTTGGTAAGACTTATTGTTCCTTTTTTCCAAGATTAGAGAATCTGCATATTGAGGATTGCAAGGAGTTGGAGTTTTTATTTCTATCAGTGATATCTTGTGGTATTGAAAAATTGAAGTCTTTGAGTATCAATGAAGTTCCTGAACTAAAATATGTTGTGGGTATGTATCATGAGGAGCAACATTCACCATATCAGAATCAAGATGATGAGCTGCATTTTGATCTTCCTGCTTTGGAGACCCTGTCTATCGAATATGCATCAAAGTTCAATGACATTTTTGCCAACAATTATAATTTGGTGAATTGGAGAACTACACAGGTGCCCTCTTTTTACCGTTGTAGATTTGTTTTGTTTTGGCAATGTCAATTAGAAGTGGAGTGTTTGATCAAAATCAAATTATTTATGACTCTCTTGCTACGCTAAGTTTTTGCAATGTAAATAATGGTGCGTCTTGATGATGATGATTTGGATTTGAACTAAATCTTTCATTTGGATACATAAAAGTTTTTGAATTTTTATTTAATCAAATCTAAATCCATGTTTTATTATCACTTTTTTGTAATTTTAAATTATATCTAGACCTTAGTAATTTGAAATTCCAACTACCTTAACCCTTCATTTTCTTCATATTTTCACTATCAGTGCCTCTATTATTCTCGTCACTCCTCTCATATATCTCATTCTCCTCTCTCACTGAAAGAAAAATAGAGATAAGCTCATCACTTTCAATTTTCCTTTTTTGCATTGAATCTCAACTTGCCTTTCTTTAACTTTAAAATTTTTTACACTATCCAAACAAAGGATTTTAAATACATGAATTTTAAATATGAGATTTTAAATTTTAAATTTAAATTTAAATCTATCAATCTAAACATTACCTGAGCTAATTTTTATTTCAAGTTAATCTAGCTAGTGTTGTATATTACTTGGTGAAAACCTCTTCTTTAATTATATTGTTGCATAGTGAGATTTTGATGATTTATTGGCATGTAGGAATTCCACGAATCCACAGATGGAGCTCCTGTGTTTCATGTGGCAGAAAGTCTTATGATGCAATCATTGAAAAACATTAGGGAAATGAAACTTGTGAATTGTGAGAACTTAATATCAGTGTCAACTCTATCCATTGCATCAACAGTTATGTTAGAAGATTTGACAATCAAAAGTTGCTATCAACTGAAGTGCATTGTAGCAGATGAGGGAGATTCTGGAACTCACATGAACAACAATTCCAACTTTGCAAAGTTGAAACATTTGGAAGTTTCATATTGCAATGCATTGGAATATCTGTTCCCATCATATGCTTTTAGATCCCCTTCACATTTGGAATCTTTGAAGATCTATTGGGCTTCTATGTTGAAATATGTGTTTGGAAGAAGCCAACATGAAGACAATTTAACTCATGAGAATCATAAAATCCAAACTGGCATCAATTTCCCTGCTTTGGAATATCTTTCTATTCAAGAAGTGCCACAACTTGTAAGCATTTATCCTGAAAACTACTATTTGAGAGGGTTATCTCTAAAGTCCGTCTTCTTGAAACAATTTCCAGAGTCACAATGAGGCCTTTTAATGAGTTTTTGGTTTGTTCACATACAAAACAAGAGCAAATAAAGGTATGACTCTATTCAAATTCTCTAGCCTTACTAGTCCAAGTTTTCCCCCTCAATAGAAAAATTATATTTTAATAATAATTTTCACTATTAAAGTATGGAATATATTAATTTTCCCTCACAAGTTTAAGATGGTTTCTGTTATTTTTGTAGATGCATGTTTAAAAATAGAAACCATACCTAAAATTCAAATTTATTTTTCCCACTCATTTTTATTTGATGGTTTCATCCTCCCTAATTTCTACGATAATTTTGTTCAAATTGGACCGCCCCACTTATAAAGTTTTTTTTTTTTTCTTTTTTAATGATTTGGAATTCGTAGGTGATTGAAATGCACGACCATACTTTGGAATCTCTCATGATTTGGGACTGCAAAGTAGAAGAAATGTTTTGTTTGAGAAATATGGACATAGAGAAAAAAAGGGAAGTGCTTGAACCATTGACATCAAGCCTGCAATTATTGCACTTAAATGATCTAAGTGAGTTGGTGAATCTGTGTGTGGGGGCTAAGCGTATCATCAGCTTTCATAGTCTTCAGGACCTGAGAATTACTGCATGCAAAAAGTTTAAAGTTATCTTCTCTGCATCAACAGTGAAAAGCCTGCCAATGTTGATGAAACTACACATATCAGAATGTGAAGAGTTAGTTCACATTGTTGAAGAAGATTATGAAACAAATGCTGATGACCATTTGAATCATGAACAATGCTTTCCCAGCTTAAAAGAAGTCATAATCGGGCGTTGTGACAAACTGAAGTACCTGTTTTCTATCACAATTTCTGATATTCTTCCAAACCTATCGTATTTGAATATAAGAGGAGCCTATGAACTTGAGCATGTGCTAATCAGAAGAGGTGTGATGAAAGAGATGGTCATGAAGGATGTGCTTCCACGACTAAATGATATAAGACTATATGAACTTCCGAAACTTATTAGTCTCTGCCATGGGATAGATTTTCAAATTTTGAAAAGATATCAACTGAATATTGATCCTGAGAGTCCCCACTTTTCTCTTTACGGTATGCATCCACAGAAGTAGTTCTTTAGAATTGAAAATTATTATCTGAGTTTTAATAATATATTATTAAAATCCCACTTTCAGAAAGTGCAGATTCTAAAGTCGAAGAAAAAGCAGTGGAGAAGCTTTCTTCACATAGGAGTACCGATTAATATCTAAATATGGGAGAAGCAACACAACGATCCGTAATTGGTTTAGTATCTCTCGCGAAGGTATGATTTTGAATTCTAATGACACAATTTTACTACTCTTTTTTAACGAATTCAATGAGCTTTTCTTTTTTCTTATTTTGTGAAATGGTCAGGGTATTCAAGAAGCAACAAAGGAAATGGTTGAAGATGATTTTATCTCTGAGATGCCAAAAACAACAATTTCATCATCTGATTCAAAACTCACAAGACAACTTGTTTGTGTTTTCTAATCCCTTTATAATCATCACCATTTCTAGTGAGCTGTTGCTCAGAGCATAAAGGATCAACAAGAAAGAATATATATTTCTTAATAGCAATGGTCAATGGAAACAAAGAAAATGATAACTAGGTGCAAATCTATCGTTTTAACAGATAAAAAATATTTGGCTGTGTGTGTGTGACTTCCAATTTCTTAAGGATTTGACACAAACTGATCCCGTGCTTTTGGACAGGATGAAATTGTTTATAAGCAATTATTTTCAAAATGCCTAAGGAGAGATCGTCATGATTTGATTGATTTTTTTGATACGTCATTTGATTGAAATTTTGAACGGTGACAATTTTTAAGAATTTGTTTTAGTTTTATTGAGGAGAGGGTCCGAAATTCAGAATAAAAAACTTTTTGCTTTATTTGAAGAGAAGAGTGGTATATTTCAACGGTCCTTGAGGGTCCTAATTCAACGAAAACGAACCAGAAAATTAATTAATTGACCGATTTAGGACCAAGAAAAGCAATATCAACAACGAACTTTACAATATTTTCACCGAATGAATCTTTACATGCGATATAATTATTATTCTTTCCAATATCAATAACTTTTAAAAATGTTGGCTTTTGTGCAACTATTTCTAATAGGAGGTGCCAACTCATATAAATGCCAACCTCACTCTTCTTCGTACAAGAGGCTACATTCCTGCAAGTGACAAAATTTTTGAAGATGAAATGGAAGAGGAAGAGGGAAAAGAAGGTAAAATTTTGATGTCTTTGCTTCGTAGGAAAATATTGCTCATTGGTTTTAGACTTTACAGGCGGCTTGATAACATCTCGACATACCCAAAGTGGCATGAAAGATGGCAGCTCTTCACTAGAGGAGAAGCTTGAAACCTCTATTTATGGTAATAATCATTTCTTGGTAGCTTGAAACTTTGGAGGCAATTTTGCTACCGAGTGCTATATATGTCATCAAAAAGCTTCAATAAGCCTCAACCAAACTCTTCCATTTAATCTTCCCAAGCCTTATATATGATGGTGATCAGTTTCTTTGTTGTCTTCTTTTGTTGACATTTCATTCAATTTTATTATTATCAAAATCTCGAAAATTAATCCTCACACATTCATGATTGTCCCAGATTTATGCATGAGTCATTCAAATTGAAAATTATTATGTGAGTTTTAATAACATTAAAAAAACCAACTTGCAGAAACTACAACTTCTCAACTTTCATATGGCTCAAAAAATCAAGACTCTGAAGTTTGGGAAGAGACAGACCAAAAGCTTTCTTCACATCCAAATGGTAGACAAGCCTTGCAAACACAACAATCCACAATTGGTTCCTCAAACTTCACAAGAGTGTAGCTCATTGCACTGCCTTATATTTTTCTTTTTGTTAATGGCATTTATTATTTTCACTTGTGACTAACATGATTATATCTGCATGCTTTTATCATTTGCTACCATTCTCTAGTACGGTAATTCATTTTCATTCTATGTTTCAAAGTTATCTAACCATGATTTCTTTTCGTCTAAATGTTAGCATAAAAATTTGAATTTGATGTGACATTTGAAAAACAAATAAAACTGCACCCATAGAGAGAAATGCACATTTTCTTTCATAACTGAAACTTTTTACTATGTCGTGTTGGTTAGTATATTGAGGGAGAAGAAAAGGATATTGTTGAAGAGGGCATAATTTTCGAGAAGGCAAATATGACAAATTTATCATTTGAGGTGATCAAGGAAATTACTTTATTTATTTATTAATTAGTTTCATAGCTATTGAGGTGATTAAGGAAATCACTACAAGTTAAACTCATCCTTTTTATATAGAACACTAATCAGAGAGGTAAAGAAGAACTAATGACTTTTATTGAGAGCAATCTTGAAATAAACAATTTTAACTAACTTCATTAAGTTTTTAATAGTTGCTCATAAAAAGCCAAAAAGGGCCGCGCGCAGGGAGTAATAAATACCTGATTAATATGTAAACGGGCCTAATAGTAATTAAATTTTATACCTAGGATTTCTTTGTCCTTTTGTTTTATATTATATTTATTGATGTATACATTGGCCAAATTAATACAAAAAAAAACACTGTAAAATAATATTTTTTTTAGCAAAGGTAGAAAATAAAGCTACTCCTAAATGCTAACTAATTCACACTTGTTGTAGAATGACAAAGAAGAAGGAAATTCAAGTGTTCTAAACGAAACTGACTCACAAAAAGCATCTTCAGAAGTGAGATTATTATCTTGTACCTGTAGACTAGTGTTTTTTATTCATGCTAGATGGTTTGAACTTAATTTTTCCTTTTATTTATCTTTCATATAGGATGAGTTAGTGGGCAAAGAAGTGAGAAATGAAACAATCATGATTGATCCACAACAATCCACAATGGGAACACTGAACTTGACAAGGGTATATATTTGATGGTCTATCAGATGCAGCCCAAAAATAAGTCCAAACTTATCATTTTGTTTGATGTTGGTTATTTATTGATAAAGAAAAGTGGTAATTAACTATTCTCCACGGACGAATTCAAAAGAAAATTTAAACAGCTATCATCTAAGTGATTCGATCAGAACTAAGAAAAGTAATATAAACAACACCCGTTGCATTTATTTCAGAGAATGAAGAATACTCAAATGTGACATGTTCTTTCTAACACAGACACATAGTTTTGTACTAGATATATTTGAACTTATGCCTCTTTCTTATTAATCTTCATGAAGGATGATTTGGTCGACAAAGAAGTAAAAAAAGAAACAATCATGATGGAAGGACAATCGCAAGAAGAAACAACAGATCATGACATACAATCTCATGAGGAAGAGGCAAGAGAAGGTAAAATACTACTCCCTCCAGTTTTTAATGTAGAAGCTAGATATATAATTCATATATACATATATATATATATATTTTATAAAGAAAATTAGTTAATTAAATTAGCTGTATGTAAAAAAATGTGTATTGATTTTCTTAAAATATTAGACTTTTTAATCATTGATATAAGAAACTACCCTCATTGATTGTAATGTACTTAATAAGGGTAGTTTGAGAGAAAAATAATAAAATGTGGAAAACAACTAAAATTGACGTCTTATATATATTAAAACAAAAAAAAAGCTCCTTTGCTAACTCCTACATTTAGGAGAAGGAGTGGTGTCTTGTATATATGGATTGTTTATTTTGGGCGTCACAGTAAGCTTGATAACTACGCGACGTCATCGAGGTGATATAAAAGCAAATAGCTCTTCGCCAAAAAAACCAGCCTGATACCTCGATTCATGGTATGATACTAGTTACTTTACGCAAATGAAATTAATCCCTAGATTTGATCACTGTGTTATATATATACATTCACATACTTTCATAGGAGACCCATTTGTGCCAACTACAACAAGTACTTTGAGTGAGCCAACTTCCAAGGCAATCTTCACATTGAGTCCCATATCATTAAAAGCTTCAACAAGTCTCAATGAAACTCCTCCACCTTCTCTCTCTGAGCCCACTTATCGTTAGTTTCTTTGTTCCCTTCTTTTAGTGATGTTCCTTCATAATTTTTATTTTGTTGTCTTCTAATTGTTGGATAGTTTTTGTTATATATAACATTGCTTCACTAGTTTAGGAAGAAATATACAAAAATATTGTTGAAATTAAATCACTAACTATTGAACTCATGACGTTGTATGCAGATGATGTTGAAGAATCTGATAAGTTTCGCAATCATGCCATCGTCTGAAGTGGAGGTGGTAATCTAACAAGTCTCAAGGGCGTTTGCAATGAAGCCATCAACGAAGCAAGTGGATTTCAAAACGAATTCAAGATAAATGTGGTAGCCCATAGTGACCTAGTAAACTCAAGTGAGGATCTAAGAGTTGATCCAAGTAACCTAACACAAATGGAAGAGGAGCCATCATATTCTAGAGGTTATTTACTCAGTCCTATACTATATTGCCCTTTTCAAATGTACACACACACGCGCATAAATATTACACTCATTGTTATTGGGATGCTTTCTTTAGGCCAAATTGTTGAAAGTCATGATAGGACAAAGTCAGATATTGTTGAGGATTCAAGGTTGTCACTGTCACCATTTTCTACACCTGCAGAGATGATACCTTCTTTTCTAGAGAAGACTAATAATCGGGCTTCAATTGTTCCTGGGGTGCAAGAAATAGTTGATATGATGAAATTAGAGGGTTTTGAGCATTCAATATTGGCAAAGGCACTCGAGACTCACCCACAACTTCGACTTTCTACCAATGATCGAAGCACTCGAGTGTTGTGCATGTCCTACAGGGTATTGCTAGATATCTTGAACATTCTGACCACTAGGACTCCCTTCACGGTCACTGAAGCTGACAAGAGGTAGCTAGATGAATATTTAAAGGATGCTTCTTTTTTGGGTTTTGACAAGGATTGGATTGAGTCTACAAAGACTAAGGTTTCAGATTGTGAGATATCTGAAAGCGATCGAATTCAAGAAGTTCTAAGGGGTTTGGACAATGATCTAAAGACCAACGATGCAATGCTTGCAGCTATTCATGATGAGGAGGTGGAAGCTGCACGAGTGGTACAGGTGGCTCAACAAGAGCATGCCAATGTCATGGCTCGTCATGCTCATCTTTTGAAGGCACGTCAAGATATTCTAGCTCAAAGGCATCAATGCTGGGAGATAATTGCTTATAAAAGTAGGCATTTTGGATTTTAGAAAGTATTTGTGTGCGCATGTTTGCCCTTATCGTTGTCATTTTTTATTTTAAAAAAAGAGTTGTTATTGCTATATATAGACTGTGTACTGTATAAAAAATAAGGGCAGTTCAAGTGTCTTTTTCTTTACTTAATTCACATTTGTGGAGGGATGTGCATCATTCATATGTTAGGTGGACAATCTAATTAACAAAAGTGAGATAATAATATAAGTCACTTTCTTTTTGGGTGATATTATTATTTATTTTAAACAACTGTTAAAAGTGGAAGTAAATAGGCCAATCTGTGAGAGATCTTCCTCTGCTTCTCATCCATATATGTGCTCTTTTCCAGATAAAAGGGTTCAAAATCACATACCTACCTATTCTGAATTTGAACACCCCTTTAAATCTGTGAGTTTTGAATCAAGCTTGACTCAATGGACCAAATATAGACAAGATAACAGCTATTGTATAGGGGAAAAATCATCCTCTGCTTCTGAGTTTTTAGAAACACGGTTCAAATGTGAGTTTTGGACCAAGGGCTTCACTCAATGGGCTTGAGATAAGAGCCTCATCTACCACCTTTTAACATATCCCATTCAACTCCTTCACAAGCTTTATTCATCATCGCCAACTTCATTCCTTCTTATTATACACTTCTTGGATTTAAGATACCGAAGAAGATTCACTACTTTGTGTACGTCCGATGAAACAGGGCTCGTAATGATCGTTGCTGTATCATCTTCCACTTCTGTTCTTTAGAGTCGAATCCATCAACCAATTAGTGCCCCCTCCCTCTACATTACTCCATCTATGTCTTGTTTTGTTGAAAATATAAAATATTAAATAATTTTTATATATTTTTTTTTAACTATACCTCTCATTTATTCATTATTCTTTTTGAATAAAATGATGCATTGAAATTTCAATTGTTAATATCAAGGCACTTAAATAAGGTATACAATGAGAGTATAATTGAAAAGATATAAGTTGTTTTAAGAAATTAATGTTTCAAGTATTTTTTGTTTTTCAAGAATGGTGAATTAGTTGCGAATGCCTTGACTTAGAGGGAGTAAATATTAGAAGCAGAAAATAGCTCATAATAACCTTTTGAGGAAGAGCTTACGATACAATTACGTGTGAACAGGAGGAAGAGGCTGCTTTCGAAATGCAGGTGGTTAATGCATGTTCCATTTGTTTTCAAATTGTATTAAAAAATATTTTCTTATGATTTTATTAAAAAAAAAACCGGTCACATCGTTACAATATTTTTTATTTATCCCTAAAAAAGTTTTCATTTGTTGTTGAATAAACTTGACCCACCATTGACGCAGGCCAAAGAGATCAATAAAAGGAGAAGAATCACCAAAGGATTATTACAAAAAAAAAAATAATTAAGTGAAAAAGTCTGGCTGTTACATTTAAGAATTTGTGTCACTCTTCCAAAGTCATGTAAAATACTTGTTTGGTAACTCGTTGTGAGAATGATTTTATAATTTTTGAAACAAAGATACTCTCATATTGTTTTGGTTAAGATTTTGACTATATTCAATAGATCTTGGAATATCCAATTTCAGTCCTTTCTTCTATATTAAGCATTAAATTTAGGGTGAATTTCATTCTAGGACCATCGGCACACATTTTCTAATCATACCCAAATATTTTTGAAATAACATTGTAGGTTTTGAAGATCATCATGAAAGTAAGTTTCGTAGTGAAAAGACTTTGTTACCCCTCACGTTTAAACAAAAGTAAGTAGCATGCATATGAGAGAAGCCATAGTTGCAAGTAACATATATTATGGACTTGACAAGCAACATAAGACAATTTATAAATAATATTGAATGCTCATTTTTTACAAGTGACATTAATGATAAGAAATGGATAGTTTTACATAGCATGAATATTACACAAGTAATATTCCAAGCTTAACAAGTACCATAAGAGAATTCATAAGTAAGATTTCACAAGTACATGAGTATATTTTTATATTTTACAAGACATTTTACTTAAGAAGTTAGTAATTTAACAAGTCATGTAGATTTACACATATTAGATATTTGACAAGTAACATAATGAACTTGACAAGTAACATAAAGCAATTTACATGTCACACCCTGAAAATAAGGCATGACCGGCATGGAATATAGGAACAAAACTCATATTCCGAAAGCCTTAAGTTAAGAAATCTTAAGTTCTGAACCATAAATATATCTAACAACAAATCGAACTATTTTCAATATGAATAATAAGAACAAAAGGTTGTATTTTATTTTATTTTATTTTTAAAATTTTAACATGACCATTCTCAAAATAAGACTCCAAGATTTCAATAACAGTATTTTCTTTTAGTAACAAATAACATTCAACAAGGAGCTATGCTCCTTCTACCAAACAAATCAAGCATAATACACATATAAGGGCTTTAACTATAGTTATGTAGAGCTCCTACAATAAAATTTACAAAATAAAATTTCATATTTAAATCTTTACAACAAAAAGAGGGTGGTCATTAACTCTTCACTTCAAGTCAAAAGATGGCCCTTAATGATCAACTAGAAGTCCAAAGCCATTCACATTATCTGAGACCAAAAATACTTCTTCCAATGAATAACGTCCCAACAATAAACAATTAAACATGAATAAAAAAAAAGTTTGAAATAATTATGTAATTTAAATAGACAACAATTTCTATAAAAATTTAACAAACTTCAAAATAAAATAACTCTATAAAATTTTAAATAAAATCTTAAACCATTGCACTATCATAACAAATGTTATTATTACTTGATTTCAAGAAAGCACATAAATGAAATAAATGTTTGTAAAAAATTTACTAAATAAAAACCAATGGAATATAAAATCACCAAATAATCAAATTCAAAATTTTAGGGACTTATCAGAACAATAAACAAACGTGGACACACAGTCTACAAGAGTAAATAACCGAACGCAGCGGATGCCACGAATACAAATGTGGACACACAATCAACGAGGGTAAATAACAAAACGCGGCTGAAGCCACGAAACAAATGTGGACACACAGTCTACGAAGGTATTGCTAACCAAATCTGGCTTGAAGCCACGAAACAAACGTGAGTACTATGCTCACAAATAACCATCCCTCCGTTCCACGTGCGTTGGTCATCGCACGAGGCTAGCACCTCCTATAAGCACCCTACTAGTTAGGTGTACCATGGCGCGTCAAGGGCTAACGAAACTGCCGTTAGCATCCAGTGTTCCCTATAAAGTCCCTTTTGTAAAATCATTTTCAAACATGCGAGAAATTGATCACTATTCAATCAAATTTTCCTTTCAATGTCAAACTCGCATGAATCATTTTTCCGTGACAGTTCAATAATTTTCAAAATGAAATCTCACAATTAAAATTCAAACTTATATTTACTGATTGACTAAAATGATCAATTCTGATAAAATAATTTCATGAAATAAAGTAATTTAATCAACAAAATATCTCATAATCACATTGTTATCATAAAAAGAATTTGCATAAAAATATAATATTTAAATAAAGGAGATTATAATGAAATATCAGTTGGGATGCTATCCACTTACCTGTAGAGGTCCCAAGTGTATAACTTACTTCCAAACAAATCTTCTAGGAACAATGCTTTGTCCTTAAATTCCTATTATTCAAGTAATACCATTGTCACTTCCTCAAACATGCTTTACTGTCCAAACTATTTAATCCAAAACAACTTAGATAAATAACAAAAAAGCAAACCTTCACTTTTATCTTTCTTAGTATGGCATCAAACATTCTAAAATATCCTAAATGAATGCCCAAATAGCAATTTAGTTCTTGAATTACTAACTCAAATATCTCTCCCAAAAACCTTTAAATTCTACCTTAACTATCATTGCAAAGAACAAATGTCTTTCAAGATTATTTAATCAACAATAATATAATTATCACATATATTTTGCCACTTTAAATACAAAATTTCTCTGTTCAAACATTTTATCAAATGCCCTTTATTTTAAACAATATTTAGCCCATAAGACCAAGTGTTTTTTTTTCTTTTCAATTCTTACCAAAAGTTGTCCTAAATTAGTATATGAAATGACCAAGCTTCCAACTTCTATCAAAGAAAAGTGCCTTCTAAAAATTTTCTAAACAACAACAATTAAATTATTACACATGTTTAATCATCATGGGCCAACTCCTTCCAATAGCCATTTCATTGAATATCTCACAAACGTCCAATCTTAACTAATACCAAGCTTCAATTCTTCCATTCATCCCAACAATTGTTCTCAAAATTCTCCAATATCCATATTTAAATTAGTCTAGTTTTTCCCTAATTTCATTCATATATAAATTCAAATTAAACTCAAATAAAATTCAAGTCCATACTTCTTCATCGTCCTCAAAAGACCAATACGTCAACTTGCTTGAACTTCTCTCTCCATATTCGAACATGCAGAACAGCAAGGCTAGGAAAAAAAACCACAATCTCCATCATTAAACACACACACAAACAGAACATACAAGGGAAAAAAGAAACAGAGAGGGTCAAATGCACTTGAAGCAAGTCAAGATGAGGAATAAGAGACCCAATGACAAAGGCAAAAGAAGAACGGTGGTGGTGCAAGGGGAAGAGACAGCCTCAATCTGAGCCCCTTACAACAGCGAACTAACTTCCATAGTAAAACATTGAAGAACCCAAAGCTTGCTAGCAACAGAGGAGGGAGAAGAACAGTGAGCTTAAGGAAAGAAAAGAGGAAATCAACAGCATAAATGCAAGAAGAACTCATGATTTGAGTGATGGACGGAGCTGCCGTATTTACCTACGACAGTGGCGAGCTATGAAGAGGAGGAAGAAGGTGACAGATTTTCTCTTACTCTTCCCCAGTTCAGACATGAGCCAGCTCGAGAAAGTAAGGAGGCCACTGGCGTCAGTCGCAAAGGAGGATGAAGAGGCAGACTCCGGCACTCATAGTCACCGGCGATAGAACGGAAAGGAAGGTGGAGGGTGTACGAAGAATGGAGAGCAAATTTCTCTCCCTCCTCATTCTGGAATAGTCGAGAAAATGGAGATGAGGAACACACAAAAGAATCAACTGTGATTTTTTTAAATTTATTTATTAATTAAATTTTTTTAAAGGGTATTATAGTAATTTCAACCAAAACTGGAGCAAAATAAATAATTTCTTTCCTTGGACCAAGATGATTCAGACTGAAGGAGATATGACAGAAATTTACGGGCGCACACATCACCAGAGCACCGTTATCTCTTACTCATGATATTTGTATCAAAATTAATAAAATAAATCACAATACTTTAATATAAATTTATTTTATATTAATTAATTTTTTTTAAGTTATTACATTACAAGTACTATTATTAGACACTCTACACATGACATTAGTAATTTATCAAGCTAGTTATGAATGATTTTACATGTGATAAATATTGCACAAATAATATTTTAATCTTAACATGTAACATAAGGGAATTTACAAGTGATGTGAGATTTCATAATTTACAAGTGAAGTTAAGGGAATATATTAATTTGAAGACGAGTACAAAATTCATGTGAAGTTGGTAATTTAACAAGCTACGTCATGTATACATTTACACAGGTTAAATATTTAATAAGTAACATCAAGGACTTAACAAACAATGCAAGGTAATTTACAAGTAACATAAGATATTCTACAAGTGACGTTAGTAATTTAACAAGTTATAGATTATTTCACACATGATGAATATTATACAAGTAATATTTCATTCTTAACAAGAAATGTAAGGGAAATTAAGGGTATAAGATTTCACAATTTAAAAGTGAAGTAAAGGAAATTTATATTAATTTGAAGACAAGTATAATATCAGACTTTATAAATATTTCAGAAGAGTACCTGTCACTATAAAAAAAAAAAAAAGACTATTGGCGGTAGGCTAAAAGGTTGCCTCTAAAAGTGAACTTTTAACAGCGACAAATCCAAGTTGTTGCTAAAAGTCACAATCAAAAATATACTTTTGGTAGCAATATATATTGCTAAAAATCTATTTTTGTTGCTAGTTTTATTAGTTGCTATCAAAAGTAAACTTTTGTCACAATCAAAAGTATTTTTTTAAAAAATAATTTAAAAATTAAAAATAATTTGTATAGTTACTTTTGGTGACAAACATTTGTGTCCACTAAAAATATTTTAAAAAAATTAAATATAATTTTAAATTATATGAAATAATTTATAAAATTATCATTTAAATTATTAAAAAAATTTCTTATGGGTTATTTTAAAAATTTAAAATTAAATAAAATCATTCAAAAGATATATAGGATCGTGAAAAAAAAAGAGTAATGGTGAAGATGTGCTAAGTTTAGTTATTAAATCATTTTTTAATTTTGCATTATTTATAATCTTTTTTTAGATATATTTAGCTCATATTTTTTTAAGAATCATGTTATTAAGCTAATATTTTAGTATGATAAATTAAAATCTTGACGGGTTATTACTTTCAATTATAATCAAGTTATACATAAATTATTACTTATATACAAATATATAAATAGTATTGGGACATCAAAGTTGTACAGATGTTATGAGATGCAAATGATATTGTAGACTATTTCGCATATTGCACACTTGATACTTAGGTTGGTATACACATGGTGTCTACTTTTGCTAAGCTCTAATAACTTTTGGACAAAAATTTTATGTGATTCTGCCTAGTGTATTTAGGTTTTTTGTTATATAAAAAAAAGTTATCAATAAAATTATTATAACTAATTGTTACTAAGAAGAATATAAAAAATTATTCAAATTCACCTTGTTATAAGGTAAAGAATGATTAAAGGTTAATTAGATTAATCACATATGAGATTTTTGTAATTATCCTGTATTGTAAAAATTATTAGTATTCATTAAAAATTCAAAATTATTCAAAATAACTATTAACAAAATTTATATGGCTGAAATTAATTTGTTATTAAAAATACTTTTTTAAGATATTGAAAAATTGTGGATAAAATATATTTTCAATAAAAGAGGGTGAAATATTTAGCCATTTTGAGAGAAGATAAAAATTTAGTCATTTAGTTTATTAATTTTTGAGAAAAATATGGAGAAGAAAAAAAGTAAAAGATATTTAACATAAACGAATATAATACATATTTATAAATAAATTATATACTTAGTAATTTTCATTTAAAAATAAAAATAAAATTTAAAAATTGGTTACAATATATATAAGAATGTTATTTAATATTTAAAATTTATTTATTTTAAGTTCTTTTCCTGACCAAAATAATATTTACTAGTAAAAATAATATTTTATTAAAAGTGTAATTTAAATATTCATATAAATTATTTTTTCATATTAATAACTGAAAATAAAATATAATATATGTATATCTTTTTAATAATATATTATTTGATATATGTGTATTTAGTCAAACAACATATATATAATTTCACATCTAATAACTGCTGGTGCATTTCAGTTCAACTGATAACAAAGAAGGGATGCTTAAGGCTTGGAAGTAAGGATGAGCAAAACTGAATCGAAATTAAAAATCGAATCGAATTTTGTTTATTTGATTCAATTTTTCAGTTTGATTCATTTTTTAAGGAAAATTTTGGTTGATTGGTTTGATTTGATTAGTAAAGTTTTAAAATCAAATAAATTGAACCAACTGAATTATTATATATATATATATATATATATATTTATTAATTTCTAAATTATATATAGTTTATTAATTACTTTATTTTATTTTATTCTTTTTTAATTTTATACTTAAAAAAAGTAAATATATAACTAACTAATAAGAATATATGAAACCCTAATCCTCACTTCCCACATTTTCACTCCCTCTATCACGTTCTCCCTTTCCCTATGACTTCTCTCGCTCTCTAGTTCTCTTTTATGTTCACCTTTCTCTAGCCAACATCTACTACTCTTAATATTGTCAACAAGTTCTTTCCCTTAAGTTGTCGCCCATGTTGCCGATGAGTTCTTGCACCCTCATCACCTTAATGTCTTTCTCTAATGCCATTGATCTCTACCAATTCAATAATGATTAACTCACCACATCTCTTATGTCTCATAGACTCTACTCCTTCCATCTTGCCCTTTCTCCCTTTCTTATTGAGTTGTTGTGCTCTAGCCCTTGGAGACTTCATTGCCTTTACAACTATGTGATTTGTTATTTGGGTTTTTGTTTTAGGTTTCTCTGTGCCTTAGTGATTTTTTTATTCTGCCTTTGATATTTGAATATTTGTTGATTTAATGTTTTGGTTTCTTCAAGCCTTGATTTTTGCCTTTAATTTCTTTAATTTCTAAATGGTTTACAATAGTGGCTTGCTGAATATCTCCCTTTATGAATGCTTCGCATTATTTGAATGTTTTATTTATTTTATGCATTTAGAGCCTATTAATTGAATAAACTGACCGAATTGAATTGTTATAATTTTGTTCAGTTTTATTTCAATTTGATCAAGCATTTTAGTTCGATTCAGTCCAAACATTTTATGTAACTCAATTGATTGCTTTTAGAAAATTTAGCGTTGAATTGACCAAACCAAACCGATGCTTGTGCTTACTTAGAGGTAGGAGGTCAAGGGTGCAAACTATAAGTTCCAACTTAATCTGGACTATTCTAAATCACACAATTAATAAATCAAAATCAAAGTAATTACCCTTTATTTATTTTCAAATCACGGGATCTCGACTCTTAAAATATATATTCAAATAAAAAGGCTAATGGAAGTGCAAGCACATTCATAAGACTCAATAAGACATAATATCTCAACCTTAAAAAAGGGCTATGTACTGTAGCGTGTACCACATGCACCGCGACATATGTACAGAGCAACATACTTTATTTTTGTTGACAGCTTAGAAGATGAACTTCCATGTCCGATGTCTGATTAGAGTGATTTAAGTATCCATATAAAGCTTACAACATAAACTAGCCAATGGAACAAGTTTGAACTCGATTTGATGGTCCGATCTAAATTTAGATACTCTGGTGCAAAAAGTCATTTTTTCTTTCAAAAACTTACACCCTAAGTGCTCAATTATCATTTCTTGTCTCATTAGACCACTTCAGGCCTTGAACTAAGTCTAAAAAGGACCATATACACGTAATTGACACTACTAATCACAAATATTACATCAATTGCCCATTTTGGCCTCTTAATGCCATATCACATAATTGTGGATTTATATGAGGAATACACATAAAACACATACACACAACTAAACTTATTCCACTTTCAACCCTTTGACTCTTAGATATGGGGCTCCACCTTATCATATGGTCAGAAATCACAATATACTCAATTCTTCCAAATAGGGGCTCTGTCTCACTATTTGCATCAAGTTCTCACACACACACACACACACACACACACACAATTCACAATCAATTCACATTCAAATCACATATATACAAGTAGAACAAGTTACATATAACATATACTTACTTGAATGGCATTTAGGCCTACCCACATACCCTCCACTAGGGCACCCTCGATAAGATGCAACATCATATATATATATATACAAGTAAGATTTCACAACACAATTCAATACATAGTCATTTATGCATCTTAGTTGGCAACTCTACTATCACAACTCATTATACATTCATTTATATAAATGGTAGTCATACTACTATCAAATGAGGCTACTCTTTCCTTGATTCCTTTCTCAGCCTTCTTGTGCTCTCCTCACCTGTGTTCAAAAGTAACAAAATGAGACATACATTCCAGTAACACAAAGGTAACCCCAATTATTGATTAGTAAGCAAAATTATAAACAAGAGATAAAGTAGTATGTGTTTCAATCAAAATAATATCATATGCATATCCATGAATTCATTCTCATCAATCTCATCATGCTTATGTAATGCATTCCTGGTTCTACCTAGTTGAGTAATATCTACCCTTGGGCTAAGACTTCCAGTCACATAGATAAGGCCAACCATACCACTGCTCAAGCTAGGTAATCCTCTTTGCATATAGGTGGTCTCCTAGGTTCATCATGACAGTGCAGAGTTAAACTCTATGCTCTAG